ATGCCATTGCTGTGTACACAGATGGCTCTAAGTCTTCTGACGGCGTAGGATTCGCAAACAGTGTTTCCGGACAAGCGTCGTACGAGAGCATTTACTATCTTCGGCTAGTATTTTTACTGCTGAATTGTATCCACCTTGCAGCACTATCCGTATTGCATCTATGCTGTGTCATCATTTTTGGTTGTTCCCCAAAACTCCCTTAGTGCTTTTACAGGCTAAAACAGAAATTTGATACACCTCACCCCTTATCCCTCCGTAAACCAACTTTGGCTAAAGCCGCATCTTTACCAAGCATAAAGATATTGTTTTTTGTTGGTCCCTGGGCATGTTGATGTACAGGGCAATGAACAGGCAGACACTGTTGCGCGGTCAGCAGTACATGACCTTCCAGTTTTCATATAGAGTTTTCCATTTACGGACTATTTTGCTGCAATATCTTCCCACCTTCACACCCGTTGGCAACAACATTGGTCTACTATGCCGGCAACAAACTTCAATCTATTAAACCAAGTATAGGTTACTGGCCGTCCCTTTTTATCACCAGTCGAAGTTGGGAGACTACTCTCCCCGTCTTCGCATTGGCCATACTCCGTCTTACTCATGGATATCTCATGGAGAGGCGCCCTGCTCCTCTCTGTGAGAATTGCCAAGCTCCATTATCAGTCAGCCACATTCTGTTGGACTGCCCACTTTATCAACGAGCATGCAGAATTTACCTCCGTCGTCTTCGCTCCGCTGCTCTCTCTTTACCTTACCTTCTCGCTGATGGACCCACCTTTCATCCGGACTCTCTCACTGACTTTTTGACAACAACTGACTTCCTTCACAAATTCTGATACCTTCAGCCCTTTCTACTTCAATCTCTTGCTACCCTCTACCCCCGTACTATCCCCTGCCCCGCTGTTTTCTGTAACCTACTGATCATCCCTCCTCCCTTCTGCCATCCAATACCCTCGCTTCCTTCCCTACCCTGCAGTGCTGTATAGCCCTTGTGGCTTAGCGCTTCTTTTTGATAATAATAATAATAATAATAAAATAATAATCCCTATGGGTTTAGCACTTAAATATAATTCTCTTCTCTCTCTCTCTCTCTCTCTCTCTCTCTCTCTCTCTCTCTCTCTCTCTCTCTCTCTCTCTCTCTCTCTCTCTCTCTCTCTCTCTCTCTCTCTCTCTCCCTCCCTCTCTCTCTCTCCCCCCTCTCTCTCCCCCCCTCCCTCCCCCCTCCCTCCCCCCTCCCTCCCTCCCCCCCCTCCCTCCCCCTCCCTCCCCCCCCTCCCTCCCCCCCCTCCCCCCCCTCCCTCCCCCCCCTCCCTCCCCTCCCCCTCCCTCCCTCCCCCTCCCTCCCTCCTCCCTCCCTCCCCCTCCCTCCCTCCTCCCTCCCTCCCTCCCTCCCTCCCCTCCCTCCCTCCCTCCCTCCCTCCCTCCCTCCCTCCCTCCCCCCTCCCCCCCCCCCCCTGCCCTGTCACATGTCCTCTATATTCTTAGAATTGCCGGAAATTCCCTTTTAACATTAACAAGAAGCTGACCTTCATCTCTACCTTTGTGGTGCCTCACATTTCTCTTGTCTGGTTTGCTCCTCTCCCTCTTTTACCCTCTCTCTTTTTGCCTTCCTTCCTCCCTCATCCCTTCCTCTTTGCCTCCCTTTTTATGCCTTTCTCCCTCTTTCATCTTTTGTCTCCCTTATCCTTTCCTGTCTGCCCTTTATTTGCTTCTCTCCCTCTCCCATAGTATCCCACCTCTCTATCTTTTTACTCTTGATGTTGGTGTTTGGCTCTTGATCTGAGAAATTGGATTTTCGTTCCTCAGATCGAACTTGCATGCCTCCCATTCCCTAATTTGAACAAATCTAGACATATGAGGCTTTGGACTGAAGGAACTGGAGCTATCTTCTTCCCTGTATCAAATCTGATTACCTCACATTCCCCCAAGTGCTTTATAACCCCAGTGGGTTTAGCGCTCCCCCATGAGAAATAACTTCCATGAAGTGAGGGTAATAAAGCGGAAGGCACTCTCCACACCATTCCCACTCACTACCCCTTAGGGAAGGTTCCCTGACGCTGGTGAGGAGCTCTTGATCTAGGGAATTGGATCTGTTCTCCAGTTCCCTAAATTAAACCTGAATACCTTCCACATCCCATCCCCAGGCGCTGTACAATCCTACGGGTTTAGCGCTTCCCCCTTGATTATAATAATCCCACCCAACGGGTTTAGCGCTTCCCCCTTGATTATAATAATCCCACCCACTACCAGTTATATAAACTAGGCGAAGATAATTATATTGTAGGGGAGGAAGGTGTATGTAGTGGGGGTGCCAAGGAGGGGTGGGAACAAGGGGGTGAAGGCTTCCAAGATATCACCAGCCCCCAAAGCCGCCAAATAAAAAATATTGAAGATGAGTCCCCTGGGCCCTTGCAATCAGACTGCCACACCTTAGCCCATCTTATATAAAAACTTCTGCAGCCGCCACTGCCCGCAAGATTCAACACGTCCTAATAAAAAAAAAAAACCACCTCATCATCAAGATTGAACTAGTCATAATAAGCCAATTTTTCAACACAAATAAACTTCCCGAGACACATTACTTAGGTTCTGATATAAACCTTGATAACTGATATTGATGTTTTATCATGCCGGGGATCGCTCCCCGTTCCCTTAGTATGTGAAGAAAGGGCGCTACCAACCAAGCCAATTATGACATACCATAACACCACTAAATACAACACAAAATGAAAGTGATAAAAGCTTGTGAAGGGCGAATAGTAACTACATCCCAAAAAGTGACTGATTTTTTCCCTGGGTTGAGTCCAGACTTGGTTTAGCATAGTGGGTATCCCTGGGTTGTGGGTCCAGACTGCTCCCTATGGAGCGCTGTATAGCCCTTGTGGCTTAGCGCTTCTTTTTGATAATAATAATGCCCCCTATGGAAATAGGGGGCAGTCTTTTTGAGTTATCGTAGGTTCTCTACACATATGCTGCTATTTATGAATCTACATAGGTAACTGTATTTGTGTATACCTGAATAAACTTGCTTACTTACCCCAGCATAGCGGGTTTTCCCTGGATTGTGGGTCCAGACTACATGATTCCAGGAAGCGTCCTGCTGGCTGCTCCTGCATTCAACCAGTCAAGTGCGATAAGGAGCCCTGCTTCTAGGGGGGGCGCCTTGATACACTTGGACTCTTGATCCAAGAAATTGGAGCTATCCTCTTGGATCAAATCTGATTTTCTCCACCCACTTGTTCTCTAGGCGCTGTAATGATCTATATGGGTTTAGCACTTCCTAGTGATTATGAAATAATAATAATAATAATAATAATCTATGTAGGTGGGACGAGAACCACCAACCAAACTTTGACAATAATGTGGCCGCGGGTTCAAACCCCACCCGTGGTATGGTTTGTTTGCAATTGTGTCATTACGATTTCGTGAGTCAAGTAATAAAGAAGTATCATCTAGTGTAAAACTGCCTTGTATATAGTAATTTGTCTCCAATAATAATAATAATAATAATCTTCATTTCTACATGTACAAGGTATACAGGCCTAGCGGACATCAGTGCAGAGCATTTCGGGCAAATTAGGTTAATTTTGTCCCCCAGGATGCGACTCACAACAGTCGACTAACACCCAGGTACCTTTTTACTGCTAGGTGTCTTAAAGAGACACGTAGCAGTAAGGAGTCTTAAGGAGACACGTCCTAATGTTTCCGCCCGTACCGTGGATCGAACCACGGATCTCAATGTGTGAAGTGAGTGCGCTAGCAATCAACCTTTTGATTTTTTTTTGTCTTGGGACATCATAGTGTACAGTTAATGACCATTTCCCGTTTTAATAACAGGATTATTTAACCGGATTATATAGCCAATCATAAAAGGATTGATGAGTACATTAAATAGGTAGGGAACCTTGTACAGAGAATAAGTAGGTTGTCACGAAGGGAAAAAAGACATAAAAGCACTTCGATCTTTGTTCTCTGCTGTCCGGTGGAATTCTGAATCCGAAGGATTAATATGACAAGGCATTGTGCAAGACAGCAATATGGACGGTGATGGGCTACCTGGAGTCTACCTGGAGGGCATTCCGGGCATCAACGCCCCCGCGGCCTGGTCCACGACCAGGCCTCCCGGTGGATCAGAGCCTGATCAACGAGGCTGTTACTGCTGGGCGCACGCAATCCAACGTACGAACCACAGCCCGGCTGATCCGGCACCGTCTTTAGGTATCCGTCCAGCTCCCTCTTGAAGACAACCAGGGGTCTTCCCGTAATGCCCCTTATTGCTGGTGGGAGGCTCTTGAATAGTCTTGGGCCTCGGACACGTATTGCGCTGGTGGCTGAAAGGGGACACAGTCGCCCAGTAAACTCAGATTATTATTATAATAAAAAAGAAGCGCTAAACCTACAAGGGTTATACAGCGCAGAGTAAACTTAAAGCATTTTCATTGTATTCCAATGATATCGAATTGTTTAGACTATTTAGAGTTACCAATTAATGGTTACCTATACCGTGTAATAGTTGTACCTGTTAGGAGCAGCGTTCTTTATGCATGTCTACAGTAATATAAGAGTATTTGTGTAAAATAAAATCGCCCCCTTACTCTAAATTACTGTAGGCTACAGTAGTTTAAAAGTGCCTCTCTGTTAGAACTTTCAAAAGTGGGGAGGATGTGCAGTTGTTTGAACTGGGTTTTCAAAATGAGGGAGACACGTGTACTCATGTCCCGTAGGGATTTGCACCATTATTACCATGGCCTTAACACATTCACCATCATCTGACTCATTCCAGTACCACTATTAAATGACTTGCGAAATATATCTAATCGATTTCTCAGAACTTATTTTTTCAGCTACCTGAGATATCAGCTTCATCTTTCAAGGCCCCTGCCCTTTACCCCTCAACAGCACACTAATTTTTTGTCCTATCAGGAAATTATGAAGAAAGTGAGACCTGAGCTCACCCCCATGGGAACCCCTGGACCGACGTCGGCTTGGCGACCACACGGAGCAACACCATTAGTGTCTGCCACGGACTCAGTCAGTATAGACGTATTCTGTGCTCCTTCCACGCGGCAATTTCCTTGGCTCAGTCTCCGAGACGTGACCAGTGAAAGTTGTGACACACGGAAACTAACTAACAGCCCCTAAGGAACTAGCAGAGATGTCGGTGATTGTCAGATTATTGGCTCTGCTTTCATTGACTACGCTGGCTATGCCTGCTGAGTTTGGTAAGCAAGCCTTTCATGTTGTGTTTGCCATTTATTATTGTTTACTCTATGGAGTTCATTTTCATTGCGCTTGACAGCTTTGCAAGTAGATCTTAGCATAATGAATGAATGCAACAGTATAAGGCTTGAGCTCACATGTTTCCCATTTGCTCGTGATTATTTTTTTTTTACTTATGACCTAGTAACATTTGTTTTTGTGGGTCAATCACGCCACAGCCTACAAACCAATGTTAGGCACATCCTCAGACCCAACCCTTCTTGTTCTTGTATTTATCGCAATCTATCTCACTCGTCCGAGAAAACACTTAGGAGTTTTACCTGGAGTTTACCTGGAGAGAGTTCCGGGGGTCAACGCCCCCGCGGCCCTGTCTGTTACCAGGCCTGATGGTGGATCAGCGCCTGATCAACCAGGCTGTTACTGCTGGCTGCACGTAATCCAACGTACGAGCCACAGCCCGGCTGGTCAGGTACCGACTTTCGGTCGGATATTATATTATGGAAATGTTTCGATCCTGGGACCCTGTTCACCCCATGCATGGGGCTTAAAAAAGCAGGTTTATATCTGGAATGGTACATATGAGGTAAACTGGAGTTAAGTGAGGTCGAGTGAGCTGAACAGTTTGAGGTCACCATGTGGTATCTTTATGTAGCTTTAAAATTTGTTGATTTATGTTTTCTCAATACCCATATATAGAATCATCAAGGTCCTAAGACCGATGCTGAGATGTGTGTTTCTGTGTCTTCAACTACAGAGACAGCTATGTACAGCTCAGGACATACATTACATAGATTAGCTTCATCAATCCTAATACAGAGTAACATTCTACAAGATTGATGGACTGAACACATCGACTCCAGGCTGAGGGACTGATTACCTCAAACTACTCCTCTCCTTACACCTTTCTACTTTGTATTGGACTGATGAAGCCACTGTGTGGCGAAACGTTTCCTCAGTAAAGATTCCCATATGTTGCATAAGTGTCTCAATCTTCAGCTTGTCGGTTTTCAAAACTATTCATCACACACTAATACACAGTAAGCTGGAAAAAAAGGAATAGTGGTCTGAAACAGGGGACAAGTAGCGAGAGTGAGGTGGGGTAGGTTGTAATAAGTGGGAATCACCTTACGGCCGATCTTTGGATGCACTGAGGCTCCTGGGTCTTTCTCGGAGTGTGCCGGGAGTGTACCACTGGTGACAAGTGCGACAGCTTCCATGCTCTTTCACCTCTATTAGTCGTGTTCATGAATGTTTAATCAGGCCACATTCCATTTCATCGGATGTTCATAATCAGTCTTGTGTTGCATACAGGCAATATTGTTGTCTTCCCAGCTGCAGCTGTTTGTGTTCACAGACTAATTTCTTAAGACCTAATGTGAAATGGAATGAGACCAATTAGTCATCAGCGATAATTACCAACAGAGGAAGTGACTGAAAACTGCCTTAAATGCCACGTTCGACACACCCTCACAAAGATCATGACATTTTTTATATTTATATTTTGCATATGGTTATATACAAAGAGAGGCCAAATGATACTTCAGCAATTGGTTATTAGAGGGCCTAAAGAAAATACATTAGTAATATCACAATTGCTACTCAATGCAAGATACAACTTATCGAATCACTAACAAGCTTTCAGTATATCAGTGGCAATGGGTAGGGTGTCAGATGTGGAAGACTGCAAATGTAACTTCTGTAGGACACAATGCGATAAAGAGACACTGCACTTACCAGCAGCTTTATCAGCCCAGTATAAAGAACAGAAGTTTACGGAGTACATATGCTGCAGAGTGGGCTAGTTCAGGTGCTGGGTGTGGAGGGGGTGGGGTTCAGTGATAGCTGTGTCCAAGATGAGTCTGACAAAAAACACGAAATCATAAAAACTGTGTTGCTTGTGCTGATTAGTTTCTCTGACTAATGGTATCTTTAAAGTTCATGATATGGAGTAGTTTTGGTCTATAGTGCAGGGGTTTAAATAATCCCTTTGACGTATGCCTCTGTTTTCTGATGCATTGTCTCAAACTTGTAGGTAGACGTCTTCCTCCATATATAGTTTGGCGCACCCTCCGCATGGGATGGTAGACTCCACCGCTAGTATCTTTATGTTGTGTGTTTCTGTTTCTTACCAAGTCCTTGATTGTGCTGAATATAATGTTAGCTATGCTGGTTTTACTCTTAGCAAGATTGGTGGAAAAGCCTGAAATCTGGCTGACTGGTAGTACTAATAATCTGTCTAGTGACTTTCTTTCGTTGGTTATGTGGATGATTTTTCTCAAGCTTTTTCCTACAGTTGTTAAGGAAGTATGTGGGGTATTGTAGCTAGATATTTTGCTCGTGTGGGTGGGAAACTGGCATTAACTGGCGCCCTGCTGGGCTACATCAGTACTCTCATTCAGAAAAAAATATATTTCTAAGGTTTATAATTTTGTACCAAAAGAACCTTAGAAAACTTACCTAACCTTATTATAACAAGCTCAATTTAATTTAGCCTTATCCAACTAAATATATTTTAGATAAGGTTACAGTAATTTAATAATAAACAAACACAACGAAATATACTTTTTTTTCGCTAGGTTCGGAAAGATTTTTGCGAAATTATTCCATACACAAATTTTCGTTTGCCTTATTCGGCAAGAAGAGCGTTGCTATTTAAGTCAAAATCGCAAGTTTTACCTATTCGGCACGACACACACACACACACACACACACACACACCACACACACACACACACAACACACACACACACCCACACACACACACACAAATAGGTGAGTACAAATAGGTGAGTACGTACACACACACACCACACACACACACCACACACACACACACACACACACACACACACACACACACACACACACACACACACACACAGACAGGCGTAAATTTAGAAAGGAAATATTACAGGAATAAGAATTTTTGAGAAACACACAGGAGAGTACAGGTATATGCATTCTGAATATAAGACGTATGGAAGATTTACATGTGATCCTGCATGTTTATCAGACAGAAAGAAAAGACCAGTAATCATGCTTGAGTACAGAACTTATAACAGGGTTCCCCATTTTCAGAGAGGGATGGTCTGGTGCCCGTGAAGGGCTCTTGTTCCAAAGATCTGGAGCTAATCTACCCTTAGATTAAAAGTGATTACTTCCTGTTTCCAAGCGTTGTATGATTCTTATGGGTTACCATGAATATAATAATAATAATAATAATAATTACCAGGATTTAGCTTCATACTTGTTTTGTTAGGTTTGTATCCTAAATCTGTGAGTGTGATCTGGGGGTATTCATAGTTTCTGGCAACACCAGGGTTGATATCAGGGTATTGTGACCAGGTAGTGCTGACGAACTTTACAAGGACGGTAGAATGGGCATTAAAGATGTCTTCATCTCCAAGAAGGGTAGTCAAGGTAGGCTATTTCCGGGTGATCTCACCACAGAAAATAGAAAGTTTCTGACTAAGGAAGTCTAGCATTCCTTTTATTTTTTTAAGTGACATTTGGTAGCATTTAGAAATATGCTACTTGTTGTGTAGTTTTAAAAATTGATAAATACAGGAGTGGGTGTGAGTTGGACCTGCCTCGCATGAGCCAGTAGGCCTGCTTAAGTGCTCCTCCTTTCTTATGAACTTATGTTGTGCAAGATTTTATCACTAATGAAAGCAATATTTAATGATAATGCAAAACCACAGCAATATCCCAGTATTTATTTTATATGATATTTATGTATTAGTTTCCAACAGTCCCGACATGTGCTTCCTCTATGATCGTAAGTCAGTTGTGCCTCACAACTGACCTACTAATTTGATGCAAATTTGGACAACATTTCGTTCTGTCGCTGCCCATCATCGAGTCGCAAGTGAATAAGGAAGAAAGCCAGAAGTCAGGTAGGAGGCAGCTTTAGGCCAGAAGAGGTTAGGAGACGGCCAAGGCTTGGTCATTCATGGGTGCTGTAGATTAAAGTATTCCACAAGTGTGAGCAGAAATAAAGTCAGCGACAAGCTATATGTTAATAATGTTCTGTACATGAGCCGATTCAGCAAAATAGGATCAGTTTTATTTGGCAGTTAATTAAAAACATTTTAAACCCGTACAATGAGCTTAAATTTGGTCGCCACGTGATAAATATTGAGAGATGATGTGGCGTGTTATTCTCTACCTAACGACCCTGAAACTAAAAATTGAATTTCCTGACATCTCTGGCACATTTCCGCTTTTATCTTCCATCTGCTATTTTGTATCTAGTTATGTTTTTTTTTCGAATAGCAAGAACAGAGGACCACTGCAGTAGGTCTGTTGGTCCTTTCGATGTAGGTTGTACCAGCACCTGGCCACTATCGCTTATATATTTCTTTAGCCTAGTATTTTATCCCTCGAATATAAAAATATACGATTCTAGCAAATAGTGGCCTTAAGCCCCAGGACCGAAATATTGATATTAAACAGATTCTTGTGCCTTTGGTATCTTCCATTATTTTGCATGTCATTGAAGCAGAGAAAATGCATTGTCAGAAGCTCCTACACCAGCAGTTATTGACCTTAACTTTCTCCATTTTGCTGTTGACCTTCTTACCCTAACTATGTATGTAAATAGGGTATTGCAAGTCAGTAAAGAGAAAGGTATGAAACTGGCAGGTCATTGTTTGTTCTTTGTATACCGGTGAGTACATTTCAGGATACAATGTCGATAACAAACGTTAATCTCAGCTTCTAAAGTATTCTCCTTTAGTGCTTTCATATACGTGAACCCATTACTGCGAGTCCTGACTTGGTTAGATATTTTCAACGCGTTATTTATATCCCTTCAGTCACATCTTTCCTTAATTCTACGCCTTTCCAGCGAGTGCAAATTCAGTGCCCTCAGTCTATTCTCGTAGGAAAAATTTCTGATATGTGAGATCAGCTTCGTCATCTCCGTCTGTTTTCCAGAGCATTTTTGACCATTCAGTACACTAGTGATTTTGTCCTTCAGCAAATGACTTGCGTCATTTTA